ATGCGAGAATTTCGGCCTCATCAAATGTGAATGTGTGGCCGGGTCTCGTCGAATGAGCCGTTACTTGAGAATAGGCATAATTTCGGCGCACTGCTGCCGCGTATTCGGCAATTCGCGTGTTCAAACCCTGCATACGACTGTGAACTAACACATTTCGAAAACCGAAATTTATATTAAAAAAGTTATGATGTCCGGAGTAGATGACGAAGAGCGGACTTAGAAGGGTAAAATTGTTTGCTACTGTAAAGCCTGCGTAAATTAACGAATTCAATACACTTTTGAGCTTTGAATACCACCAACTTTTTGGAACAGGCTCAACTGGATGGTCTGTAAAGGTAACTTACAGTACCTAGATTACGTTCGGTACACCTCAAATATAAGCAAATAATTGCTTACTATGATCATATAATGGGGAAGTGCACAGAGCAGATATATGCACATTTAAATCTACTCACGTTGACTGTACATTTGAGCTTGCTTCTTACATCTGTTGATGGAACCATTCAGAAGAATATTTAATCCTAAGCCTTAGGCGTGGCTGAATTAGCGTTATGTACCAAACGTCATTTGGCTTATAAAAATGAACCGGAATTTTCATAACTCATGATTTTGTAAACCTTGCGGGAATAGATTCCCATGAAGTGGTTTCTACAAAAAACGTGTTATAAACAACAACAGCTCACAAAGTAATAAAACTTCAAGGGTACAGATATGCATACTTACCAGCAAATAGTACATTTCTTGGATCAATCACTCTCGGGCTTTGCGACTCAATCAATTATTATCTGCCAGGTGGTGAACTGATTTGGATGCTGACGTGAGTACTGAACCGTTCTACTATAGCTCACGGTTTCTTTAGTTACAGAATAACATGGAAATGTGTGTTCAGTTTTTTTTGATACGTTTTGTAAATTCCATAAAGTCTATTTCGATTAGGTGCAATGGCGACTTCTGCACGCGGGTTTGGATTAAAACAAGCGAACCGGCTTAGCCTATAATTTATCCCATTAGCTAAATAAATCATAAAGATTGTAAACTGAACCTAAGACTAAGACTGCAGTAATAAATCTGGTTGAATAAGCAAATCGCCTAGGAGTTGCTTGTAAAGGACGATAAATTTGTGCGTGATATATATTTTGGATGATAAACAGCATATCATGCGCTCTATAGATAGAGATGACAGACTATGCCTAGCACCCAAACACCCTTTATAAGCACTCTCGATTCCTTTCGAGGATAACTAAGAGGATACGCTCTTTGTTCACGTCATGAATAACAGGTGAAACAATTTTACTTTGCGCGTACTTGACCGAAAATTCGTTTAAATGATTCTGCTGACCGTATACTCGTGTACTGTCTCGAGCTTTTAAGTTCACGTTGAATGACGCATCGGCAGTGCACAGAAAGCTGGCACCCAGCGGTTACGCACACGAAAGTTTCATCAGATAGCTGGCAGCCAATCAGAGGTTAGTTGCACCAGGCTAGTGTCGCGAATAACGTCAGTTAGATGTCTGCACAAAAGGATTGTGAGTGTGCTTACACTGCAGATCTGTTGTGAAGAAGCCTTTCGTCTTTACTAGTCTGTTCGATCTTCCGCTCGACATAGTGAAAGGAGTTTGTCAAAAATCAGTTAGCAAGCATGCTTTTGCGTAATAATGGGATTATCCTGCTGTTTGCAATTTGTACTTGGAGTAAACAAATACCAGGTAAGCATACGGCACTTCAGATAAATCTTTGAAAGTACCTTCCCTACTACAATTTTGTTTGCTTGTATCCTGTGAATGGTTCTTTTATTAGTGTTGGATTAACGTTTGGTAAATAAGACTATTGCCTGAGTAATTGGACCGGTTACTAGACTTGAGTCAGATAAAAGAATTAAATATATGTGGCGAACTTGTTCAACTACACTCATTTCATGTTGATACTTCTACCTTAAAATATCTACATTATTATTTGAGTCTGTATAAGTGTCGTGTGGGCAGTGTAATAAAATATTTTGTCAGTTTACGCTTTGACCAGACAAGTGTATCGCAAACTATCTTCTTGATCTGAAAGTCCTGTTATTTACTGAAATATCAGTGAAGTATACATATCAAAAGTACGTATAATCTGGTAAAAGTAGTTGCTTAATGACGAACACAATGGTGTGGTGCTCTGTTCTGTGAACGATAGCATACGGAAGGTTTCAATAATATCTTCAGAAAATAGGCATTGCGCACAGCTATACCTTCCGTTTTCATTTTATTTGGACGTGAATACTTGAATAATGTAGACAAGAACTGACCATTACAAGAATGCTTAGATAAATAAAATTTCATAAGTTTTAAGGAGAGGATGTCATACCACCGCTAACTCTTGAAGGCTGTCAAACAGGGTACCTTAACAGACAGATGTAGGTTAACCATTCAGAACACATTCTAAGACAATATTTGTAAAAATGTACAAAGTATGGGCCTGCAAACTCAAATCAACTAAAACAAAAGAGATCAATAACCTCTAACACCAAAAGTGCCCATGCTTGTAAGGTGTACATAAAATGCGTTCGTGAAGACTGACACTACAATCAATAGTTTCTTTTATGTCAGTGCCTTGAACTGTTCTCTCTCCAATTTCCTATGTAGCAAAGAACTTTCAACAATAAAACATGTTTCAATAATTTTTACAAACCACAGTACACAATGACCGCAAACTTCGAATAAATTACTTCTCCACCCGATTTGCTGATATAATTTTGAACAAGAAACCGTTACGTG